TGAGCTCCTGGTAAAGTATGTGTGGAGGCTCACAGAACAGCCCTCCCATATCCCCTCTGCACAGCGTCGTCACGCAAGGAGAAATAGCATCTCGGGAATCTAAGCAGCTGGAATAAAGCCTTCTCCCTGGTACATACACGTGTGAAAACTTTGCTGCACGTCAAGGAATACTTGTCCCCCAGCGTACATCAGATGATGGAGTCCGCTGTATGTCTCATTAGAAAGGATTCCAAATTCTTAATACAGGCTATGTAACAACGTTATAAACTCAATTGGAAGTCATCCAAACTACGCCTCCCCCAGTCAAGTTTTCCTAAAAATGGGAAAACAACACACAGTCATTTTCTACCCTGCATTGGGTGTTTGCCGTTTCCCTGGAGCAGGTCTGTGTTGGAGTCACCCTGAGCCCCATTTCTTACTAGCAAGGGCATTGCAAGCAAAGAAACAGCATTCAGCCTATTTCATGTTCCCGTCACACACGCAGTTATGCTGAGCATCCTATTTCCACGTTAGGCTCCATCTCATCTTTTTCTTTCCCTTGTTCCTCTTTCTCCTGGCCATTCACAGCCGTTTTCATACTTATTTGGCCAGGAATAACTCCTCATATATAATTGGTTGTCAGGAAAGTCATGACGCTTTTTTTTTTTGGAGAGGTTTTTTTCGCTGTAGGGCGCGTGCGCTCACCAGACAGACAGAGAAAGACATAGAGACAGAAAGCGAGAAATCACCCCCCAGAGGGGATGGTCACGCCGCAATCCCTTCTCCTCCATTCTCCTCTTGGGATCTTGGGCACGCACGCACACGCGCCCGGCGTGAGTTTTAAGCCACCGGGTCCGGGACACGAACTGCGGTCGACTACGTGGGAGTCCAGCGACATAGCCATTACGCTAACTGCTGGTTCCCTTGACGCATTTTGCATAGAGAAAAATATGTCATGACTTTTCCAACAAACCAATATATGTATTTTAGAATAATTATTTAATTTTATTAATTATTATTTTTGTTTTAAAATTTGCTATAGGGTACATGCATTTACCAGAGACAGAGAAAGAGAAAGGGATAGGGACAGTGAGAAAGCAAGCCTCCAGGCCTGGGATTCAAACCTTCATTGGCCATATGGGAGTCCAGCACCTTAACCAACAAGCCGCCTATGGGTTCTAACGCCTTATATTTTTTTTAAAGAATTATTTTATTTAACTTTATTATTATATCATTATTATTTTTCAGTTTGATCAGAGACAGAGAGAGAGAAAGAGAGAGAGGAAGTGAGAAAGCAAGCCACCAGGTCCGAGACTCGAAACCATGGTCGGCCATGTGGGAGTCCAGCGCCTTTAACCACCACACCACTTGCCGGCCCCAATGCCTTATATTTTTTGATGGTCGTGTTTTCTCAACAATAATCGTGCAATCTTGGAAATTTTTGCAAAATGGAAAAATCTAGTCTAAACAATTTTGCTTGAAAGGGAATTTTTAAAAATTGTTTTATTCAATTATTTATCTATCTATTTATTTATTTATTTTAATTTGACCAGAGAGGGACAGAGAGAGAGAGAGAGAGAAAGAGAGAGAGGAAATGAGAAAGCAAGCCACCAGGTCCAGGACTCAAACCGTGGTCAGCCATCTGGGAGTCCAGTGCCCTTAACCACTATGCCACCTGCCAGCCCCACACATAATCAATTTTTACACCCTAAGTTTTGTGTCAAGATGCTTGGAGCCTTGGCTATATTGACCTCTTACTGGATATGTGACTCTTGTTGTCTTCATTATGTGTCTGTCTATATCATTAGACTGTGCTCTCTAATATGGAAGCCATTAGCCACTAGTGGCTCTTTAAATTAAAAAATAATGAAAATTAACTAAAATTCAAGGTTTTGCTTTTCAATCACTTTTTTTAGGCATTTTAATTTCTTTCTTTCCTTCTTTTTTTTTTTTTTTTTTTTAAATTTGACCAGAGAGAGAGAAAGGAAAAGTGAGAAAGCAAGCCACTAGGTTCAGGACTCAAACTACAGTCGACCATGTGGGAGTCCAGCACCTTAATCACCATGTCACATGCCAGCCCCTCTTAGGCATTTTTCAAGCATTCAATTTTCTTAGGCACTTTCCAGGCATTCAATAGCCACAGAGCTTATTGACTGCTTTATTGGGCAGTGCAGAGTGAGAACATTTCCATCATTGCTAAAAGTCCTATCAGATGTGCTGGAATAAAATGCATATGAATGTATGTGTGTATGTGTGTACATGCATGTGATTTATGAGCCCTCATGCAGACAGGTATAGCCTATGCCCTGAAGCTGGTTTGCAGTGAAGCCTATGACAACCAATTACTATGACTTTAGACAAAATACTAAACCACTAATTTTTTAAAAGTTTATTTACTGGGGCCAGCAGATGGCATGGTGGCTAAGGCATTGGGCACTCCCACATGGCCGACCATGGTTCGTGTCCCAGACCTGGTGGCTTACTTTCTTGCTATCCCTCTCTCTTTCTCTGTATCTCCCTCTGATCAAATTTTAAAAATTAATGAATAAACAAAATTGAATAACTTTTTAAAAGTTTATTTATTTATTGGGAACCAGCAGTTAGCGTAATGGCTTTGTCGCTGGACTCCCACGTAGTCGACCGTGGTTCGTGGCCTGGACCCGGTGGCTTAAAACTCACGCTGGGCGCGTGCGCGTGCGTGCCCAAGATCCCGAGAGGAGAACGGAGGAGAAGGGATTGCGGCGTGGCCATCCCCCCTGGGGGATGATTTGTCGCTTTCTGTCTCTATGTCTCTCTCTGTCTGTCTGGCAAGCGCACACGCCCTATAGCGAAAATCTCTCAAAAAAATAACTTTATTTATTTATTGGGGGAGGGCACCCCCAACAGGGTTTTCACATCCATCCACCTCCAGTCTCAGCCCACTTGGCTCACACCCACTCACACACCTGATGTGCTCGGGCAAGTCCCAGATGTGAAACCAGAGCCTTCCCCCCCTGGGAGTCCAGTTGTGTTACCACTAAGCTACCAGCTGGCCCCCAAAATTTCTTTTGACTCCAGTTTCCCCATCTCTAAAAATAGGGCTAATGACAGTAACTACCTTGTTGCTGTGGAAATTGAGTGTGATAAATAGAAAGTGTTTAGAAGAGTGCGTGGCATTGCCGCTTTGTTCTAGGTGCTGCAGAATTGGCCTGCTTTATTTCCTGTGATCCTCGTTCCAATCAGATGAAGAGGGCTCTGTACCAGTTTGGCAGACGAGGAAAGTAAACAGAGAGGTTATGTGTGTATCCAGTCCCAGCCACAGAAAGTGTAAATGTGTATCATCTGCCTTTTTCTGCTCACCAACCCTTTTGCTCTCCTTTATTTTCTCTTAGCACTTGCTAATGTTTGATGCAGGTTCACATCTGCACTAGGTGTAAGGCCCAGGCAGAAAGGGATTTTTATTTTTTTGTTCCCTAACCCTACCCCTGAGAACTCCGTTTGGGATATAGCCAATGCTCAAGGGGTTGTTTAAATGTGGACACTTCCTCCCCGCCCCCAACAATCTCTCTGAGTCTTTAAAGTGGGATTCTTGTAGATGACATATAATTAGGTCTTGTTATCTACTCTGGTAGTCTCTGTCTGGTCTATGTAGACCATTCACATTTATAGAACTTGTAGAGGCGCCCAGCAGATGGCAGAATGGCTATGTCGCTGGACTCCCATATAGTCCACCGCGGTTCTCTCCGACCAGTGGTTTAAACTCATGCCAGGCGCCTGTGCATGCTTGCCCAAGATCCTGAGAGGAGAATGGAGGAGAAAGGATTGAGGCGTGGCCATCGCCCCTGAGGGGTGATTTTTCGCTTTCTGTGTCTCTGTCTCTTTCTGGCACGCGCACATGACCTATAGCAAAAAATCTCTCCAAAAAAGAAATAAATAAAAAATAAAGTACTCGTGGATAAAGTTGGATTCTTAGATACCATTTTTTTTCTTTCTTTTTTCTTTATTATTTTCTTGGAGAGGTTTTTTTGCTATAGGGTATGTGTGCTCACATGAAAGACAGAGACAGAAAGAGAAAAATCACACACACACACACACACACACACACACACACCCATGGCCACGCCGCACTCCCTTCTCCATTATCTCTCGGGATCTTGGGCACGCACACACACGTGCCCGGTGTGTTTAAGCCACACAGTCCGGGACTCAAAAGACGGTCGACTACATGGAAGTCCAGCGGCATAGCCATTATGCCAACTGCTGGTCCCTCTGTTTTCTTTTTTTTTTTTTTAAATTTTGCTAGGGGAAACATGCACTTTCCAGAGAGAGCGTGGGAGAGGGGGAAGGCACCCTCCCCCTCTAATGGGGCAGGTGTCGTGCTGCAATCCTTTCTCCTCCGTCTCTGCAACCTGTCGGATTATGGGAATAGCAGATATCCAGGGTGCTCCTCAAACTACCCGTGGGAAGTCTAACTTGGCCTTGTGGGATCTGGCTCCCTCAACTACTAGGCTACGGGGCCATCCCCGACACATCTTTTAACTTATCTGAACCATAGTGCCCTCTCCTACTTGTAAAGTGAGGACATATAATCTGCACAGAACTGATGCAAAATCAGATGGGAAGAAAGCCAGTCGTGCAATGGGCATATTCGAACACACAGCCCGGAAAGACGATGGGCTCCAGGCTCCACCGGGGCCAGCGGCGCTGAGCGCGCTACTGCGCGTGCTCCGCCTCCTACGCCCTCCTGCGCTCTCCCCCGCCCGGCAGCCTCCTCCGTGCACCGCGAGGCGGGGGCCGGAAGCGCCGTCGCCGGTGCCGGGCGCTGCAGAATGACGCGCGGAGATGACGCAGTCAGCACCGGAAGCCGCTCCCCGGCGAGGCTGCGGACCCCGG